AATATTATTATTATTGAAAAGTCAGATATACAGAGAGGAGGAGAGACAGAGAGGAAAATCCCCCATCAAATGAACAATTCCCCAAGCAGCCGCAACGGTCGGAGCTGAGCCAATCTGAAGCCAAGAGCTCAGAGCCTCTTCCAGGTTTTCCCACACAGGTGCAGGATTCCAAGGTTTTGGACCTTCCTCGACTGCTTTCCCAGATCACAAGCAGGGAGCTGGATGGGAACCGGTGCCCATACGGGATTTGGTGTGTGCAAGGCGAGAACTTTGGTTGCTAGGCTACCATGCTGGAGCACCCCCCAAATGTTTTTAATATACATACATATATATTTTAAAGACTTACTTGTTTTTATCAGAAAGGTATTTTTACAGAGGGAAGGAAAAAGAACTATCTTCTGACTGCTGGTTCACTCCTCAAGTGGCCACAATGACCAGAGCTGAGCTGATCTGAAGCCAGGAGTCAGGAGTTTCCTCTGGGTTTCCCACGTGGGTGCAGGGTCCCACAGCCATCCCTGACTGCTTTCCCAGTCCACAAACAGGGAGCTGGATGGGAAGCAGAGCAGCCAGGATAGGAACTGGTGCCCATATGGGATCCTGGTATATGCAACGTGAACATTTAACCACCAGGCTATCAAGCCGGGTCCTTTATAATATTAATCACAAAGGACTAATATGCTAAATATAAAAAGCATGTTTATCATTGGTAAGATAAAACACACAGCTTCTGGAAGACAATATATAAATTATATGAAGCAATAAAAGATAACATATATATGCAGAAGTCATGAGAAAAGATTTTACATTAATGTAAATCAGAATTTTTAAATAAAACCAGCAAGAAGAATGGTTATCACCCAAAAAATTTTTTAAAAATACACAAAATATTAGAGAAAATGAGGGGGAAAAGACCCCCTAATACAGTATTGGTTGCAAAATATGCCAGTATAACCATCATGGAAGACAGCATGGAGATTCCTCAGAAACAGATCTGCTGGGCCCAGCACCATAGCCTAGTGGCTGACATCCTCTCCTTGCATGCACCAGGATCCCATATGGCCGCAGCCCCGCTTCCCATCCAGCTCCCTGCTTGTGGCCTAGGAAAGCAGTCGAGGATGGTCCAAACCCTTGGGATCCTGCACCTATGTGTGAGACTGGAGAAACTCTTGGCTCCTGGCTTCAGATCAGCTCAGCTGCATTCCAGGCACTTGTTGAGTGAACCAGTTGAATCTTAAAAAAAAAAAAAAAAAAAGAAAGAAAGAGGGCCCGGCATGATAGCATAGTGGCTAAAGTCCTCACCTTGACAGATGGAGATCCCATATGGGCACTGGCTCTAATCCTGGCGGCCCTGCTTCCCATCCAGCTCCCTGCTTGTGGCCTGGGAAAGCAGTCGAGGACGGCCCAGAAGAAGCATGGCAGACCCAGAGGAAGCTCTGGGCTCCTGGCTTTGGATTGGCTCAGTAACTTGCAGTAACTTGGGGAGTGAATTATTGGATGGAAGATCTTCCTCTCTGTCTCTCTTCCTCTCTGTATATCTGACTTTCCAATAAAAAATATAGATCTTAAAAGAAAGCAGTCGAGGACAGCCCAAAGCCTTGGGACTCTGTACCCACGTGGGAGATCCGGAAGAGTCTCTGGGCTCCTGGCTTCAGACTGGCTCTTGGAGGCTCTTGTGTGGTGTAGCTGGTAGCAGGCTGGGTGGGATGCCCCATGCTGGAGGGCCTGGTTTAGATTCCAATGTCCTGCCAATCAGCACCCTGGAGACAGCAAATGCTGACCCCTGCCTGCACTTGGGTCGCTGTCACCCAGATGGGAAATCCTCGCTCTAGTGGCACTTCAGAGGAACCAACAGATGGAAGACCTTTGTCTCTCACATGAAAATAAGTGAAAATGAATACAGAGAATATATTAACTTTTTTGCAACAAATGGTATCAGTACAACTGGATAGACAAATGCCAAAGAATAAACCTGGACTTGTTTAACATATACTAAAATTTTTTTGAAGATTTGTTTTTATTGGAAAGGTGGATATACAGAGAAGGAGAGACACAGAGGAAGGTCTTCCGTCTGATGATTCATTCCCCAAGCAGCTGCAACAGCTGGAGCTGAGCCAATCTGAAGTCAGGAGCAGGAACCTCCTCCGGGTCTCCCATGCGGGTGCAGGGTCCCAAGGCTTTGGGCCGTCCTCGACTGCTTTCCCAGGCCACAAGCAGGGAACTGGATGGGAAGCAGGGCCACTGGGATTAGAACCGGCGCCCGTATGGGATCCCGGAGTGTTCAAGGTGAGGACTTTAAGTGCTACACTATCGCGCCTGGGCCCAACATATACTAAAATTAATTCAAAATGGATCAAAGATCTAAACCCAAAGTCACCAAGAGTTATATTTTTTTCTGAAGGTTTTTTTTTTTTAGTATTTTATTTATTTGTTTGTTTATTTATTTTTTGTTAGAAAATCAGACTTACAGAGAAGAGGAGAGACAGAGAGAAAGATCTGTCCGCTGCTTCCCTTCCCGAGTGGCCGCACAGCCGGAGCTGACCTGATCTACAGCCAGGGGCTTCTTCCGGGTCTCCCATGTGGGTGCAGAGACTCAAGGCTTTGGGCCATCCACTGCTTTCCCAGGGAGCAAGCAGGAGCTGGAAGGGAAGTGCAGCAGCTGGATACGAACCGGCGCCCCTATGGGATCCTGGCACATGTAAGGCGAGGACTTTAGGCTTGGCGCCCGGCTCCTGAACTTTTATAGTGTTACAGTTGGGCCTATAGCAATCTTTGATGATAAAAATGAGAATAATTCTTCATGATCTTGGGTTAAGTAAATATTCCTGAAATATGACCAAGGCACAAGCAGGAAAAAAAAAATAAATTGGATTTCATGGAAATGAAAAACTTCAAAGACATTATGAAGAAAAAGACAATCCACAAGAACAGGAGAGAATATTTGCAAATTATAAATCAGACAAAATCCCCAGAACACAGACTAAATGAAGCACTCTTAGAACTTAATAATAATAATAACAGACAACCCAATGGACAACATTTCTCAATGGACAACAGGTTGGAAGTGATTTTTCTAAAAGAAGAGATTAATGACCAATAAGCATATGGAGTGAAAGTTATAACTTTATCGAGGTACCATTTTACATCCACCAAGTTGGCTACTGTAGAAAAGACAGAAAAAGGGGCTGGTGCAATGGCTCAACTGACTAATCTTCTCCCTTCAAGCACTAGGATCGCATGTGGGCACTAGTTCATGTCCTGGCTGCTCCACTTCCCATCCAGCTCCCTGCCTGGGGCCTGGGAAGGCAGTAGAGCCTTGGGACCCTGCACCCATGTGGGACCCAGGAAGAGGTTCCTGGCTTCAGATTGGCTCAGCTCGTCTGTTGTGGCTATTTAGGGAGAGAACCAAATGGAAGATCTTTCTCTCCATCTCTCCTTCTCTCTGTAAGTCTGTGTTTCCAATGAAAATAAATACATTAAACAAAAAAGTTTAAAAAAAGAAAAGCAAAAAAGCATCTTATTTGGTCTGGCTTAGCCCTGGCTTTTGTGACCATTTGAGGAATGAAATAGCAAGTGGAAGGTTTCTCTGTTAAACTCTTCCTGACAAATAAATAAATGAAACAACAACAACACACACAACCAGCATCATATCTAGTGAAATTGTAGTTAGCAAGGGACATTCAGGTGTGTTCTAGAAAACCGTGTATTGCTGTCTTAAAAGAAGAATGAGGTAAGAAAAGTTACTAAAGAGAAAACAATGGCCAGACAGTTCGTTTAGACTCTCCCAGGGCAATTTTCCCGGCTTAAACAGTCCGAAGAGTGGGTAAGAGCCACTTGACAGCCCCATTGCAGGCAGCCAAACGGCTTGGCTGCCAGGAGCCCTAACCCAGGACATGCGACCTCATGGCTGCCACCTCGGCTGTCTCACCTGTAACGCGGCTTCCCAATGACCTGGTCCGCGAGGAGCCCCACGAACTCAGGACACCCCACGGGCTGGCCCAAGCTGGTCAGGTTTAGGGCCGGGCTCGCTCTCACAGGGCCCTCATCCCCAGCCACGGCTCCCTCAGCCAGCCTGGGCGCAGGCGACAGAAGGCAGGAGGCCGCTTGCACTTGGCCCTCATCCTGAGGACACAGGTGCCGCAGCCGTGCGCCCTGGGGTCGGGGGCTAGGGTATTGGGGGCCAGTTCACTTCCTTTTCTCTTCTGCCATGGGAGATGTTCAGAGCAGATCTGTGGGAGTTCCTTCCTGCGTTGCCCCAACCAACAAAGCAGCAATAGAACCCAGGGTTCCTGCAGGGTTTTGATTTACTTCCGCTTTTTCTCACGGGCACTCAGAGATGTCTGTGTATCAGAAACCAGGCCCGTGGCAGGGGCGGGGATGATCGTGGGGATCACCCCAGCGGTGCTTTCAGATGGAGGGACCCGCTTGTGGAGCCCACCCAGTGAGCTCGGACTGGAAGGCGGCATAGAGGTGGTGCACACGTGTGCGCACACACGCTGCGTGGGACAAGGGAGTGGGTGGAGCTGGGGGGAGGCCCGCCTTCTAACCTCACAACACAACTCCCCTGACTGTTGACCTGCCCAAGCTCCTCCTGACTGTGGCCAGTGGCTGTGGCCTAACAGCTGGCAGCAGGTATGGGGCTGCAAGCAGCTGCGGGGGCGTCTTATTGATTTCTAGGTCTCCAACCCAGAAGGGAACAGGACATGCTCAAACTGCCCCAAAGACAGAAGGCAAAGGGAGGAGCCCTGAATGCAGGTGCCCATAGGCAAAAGACGCAAAGGGAGAAACGCCCTAGGCACCACATTGCCTCGTGTGGTAGTCACAGGGGTAGGACCTTCCTCCATCCACTGCTCTCTAAATTGTGCCTTTTTAACATTTTTTTTTATTTTTAAAAATTCTTATTATTTTCCATTTCATGGTTTTGTAGGTATAGGGATACCCCCCACCTCCCTTTCTTTGCTACCTCTTCTCCCCCAAACACCATTTTCCCCCTATTATTACCAAGAAATATGGAACACTTCACAAATTTGCATGTCTTGCTTGCTGAGGGGCCATGCTGATCTTCTCTGGATCATTCCAAGTTTAGTGAATATGCGCCAAATGAGTGCTAGTACCTTCACCTTCACCTTCCTTACTGGGAAGGCAAGGTTCTTTTCCAAAACAAAAATCCTTTCTCTGATTCTCTTCAAGTTTTCACGAAATATCTGCACCATCTACACTCCAGTTTCCATTTCCTTAGTTCCTGGGTCCTCCTCCTTTCCCGGTAATCTGGCTTTCCCCAATGCTACTAGAAAATTCTGCTCCAGGGGCCAGCACTGTAGTTGGTAAATCTGCCACCTGCAGTGCCAGGCCCCATCGGGGTGAGTCCTGGCTGCTCCACTTTTGATCCAGTTCCCTGCTAAAGTGTTTGGGAAAGCAGCGGAGGATGGCCCAAGCGCTTGGGCCACTGCACTCACACGGGAGACCTGCAAGAAACACCTGGCTCCTGGCTTCGGCCTGGCCCAACTTGTTGTTGTAGTAATTTGGGGAATGAACCAGCAGATGGAGGATGGCTCTCTTCCTCTGCCTCTCTGTCACTTCCTTTAACTCTTTCAGATAAATAATAATAATAATAATAATAATAATAATAATAATAATAATCTGTTCCTTAAGCATACCCATTCCATTGAAATGGCCTTCCTGTCTTCACTGGTGTTTTCCAGTGTTCCTTTGGTCCCTAAAATGACTAGAGGCAAAAAATAGAACTACTGGAATTGAGACTATTTTAAATAACATTTCATGTTTTGTTTTACAGTGTGAATGTTTAGAATTCTAATTGTGCACCATTTATAAATAAGCATATTAATATGCATCCTTGTAATTTATTTTGCACCTGATAGGTGCTCCAGCTGGTAGCATTACTGCCACTCCCTCAGCCCCGTCACTTTCCCCTGGGGCTTTGCTGCCTGTCCCTCCTAGGTTCTCCCTCCAAATATTTACTGGGCCTGTTTGTGGTGGGCAGTAGAGAGATAGTGACAAATGCAACTAGGCCTCTGACCCCCAAAAAGATATTCCCAAATTCAGCCCCCTTTCCCTCTAACTCCTCTGTGTGCACCACTCACTCCCCTCGTTTCTCTTCCATTTCTTGCTACTGGTCACATTCTATTTCCTTAGGTTTCTGTACCCATGCCTGAATTCGTTGCTCTTTTTCCCCTCAAGATTTTATTTATGGGCCATGGTGCAATGGCTCAGTGGCTAAACCCTCACCTTGCAAACGCTGGGATCGCATGTGGGCACTAGTTCATGTCTTGGCTGCTCCACTTCCCTTCCAGTTTCCTGCTTATGGCCTGGAAAAGCAGTAGGGGATGACTCAAGGCCTTAGGACCCTGCACCTGCATGGCAGACCTGGAAGAAGCCTCTGGTTTTGGATCAAATCTGCTTAGCTCCAGGCGTTTGCAGCCATTTGAGGAATGAAGCAGCGGACGGAAGATCTTTCTCTTCTCTCTGCAAATTGCCTCTCCAGTGAAAATGAACAGATCTTAGAAGATCTTATTTATGAGAAGAGACAGAGGTCTTCTATATGCCGGTTCACAAATAGCAGCAATGGCTAGGGCTGTGCCAGGCACAAGCCAGGAGCCTGGAGTTTCTTTTGGGTCTTTCATGTGGGTGCAGGGCCGTTCGCTGCTTTCTCAGGTTGCACTAGGGGGTTGGATCAAAGTGGAGCAGCCATCCCATATAGGATGTCAGAACTGCCAGCATTCAATTAATGTGCTACACCCCAGTGTAGGCCCCATTCAGATGTTTTTTCTTACAGTACTGTACTCACTTGCTCTCCTGCTGTCATTGGCCCCTTTGCACTCTATTCTTAATAATTCCACATCCCAATCCATCTTAACATTTGCAGCTTTCTCGAGGTAGCTTTAAGGTAACACATAATTGTACACATTCATAGGGTCGGGTGACACTGCACATCATAATGATCAGATCAGGGGATAAGCGTAGTCATCACCTCACTTTCTTTGCGTTGGGAATTAAAGCAGTGTTCTAATTACTGCCCCTGCCTGTCATTTCTCCAAGCTGCAGCCTAAATTATTTCACAAGTTACGGCCACCTTTGCCCCTTAAGGGGTGCTGCTGGGAGGTGGTGAGGGAACAGGCCCCCTGACCTGCTAAGCTTCAGGAATTCTTGGTGTTGGAGAGCTCAAGCTCATTGTTCACTCTTGCCCTGCTTTTGTCCACTGCCCACTTGATTATCTTCTATGGGCCTTCCCACCTAGCTGTGCCTCAACTCCCTGCTTACCACCAACTGTGCCCACAGAAAGGGGAAACGTGCGCAATTTGGGGCCTGGTCAGCCACTGCCTGCCTGATCCCAGAGTGCACTTGTAGTGATGGCAGGCCCCATCTCACCTCCAGGACGACGGAGCAGCAGTCCTTTGCAGAAGCCTCCAACAGTAACAGGGGATTGAGCTCCTGCCGTCAGGAATTCCACCGCCTTCTTAATGATCTCCCAGTTTAACTTCCCACCTAATTGTCTATTGTCTTTTGGTGTTTCTACTTTTGGCTCTGCCTGGCAGAATTTTCCTTCTTCAGGTCCAGCCTAGTCTTAAGCAGGATCTTCCTCATCCATTTTGTATGAGCCAGCAGCTTCTAACCCCACACCCCTCGGGGACCGCAGGGACAAACGGCCAAGTTTTCAGGTTAGTTTTGGGCCTGCCTGAGAAGCTGCATTTCTGGCACCCACAGCAGTTTTAGGTTGTGCTCAGCTGATGTCTATGTTCTCGCCGTGAGGCCTGCCCCGCGTAATAGGCAAGATTAATTCCCGGTGTGATTCTCCAACACCGCACACGGCCGAAGAATTAGAAACTAGGCCTCTTTTGTTTCTGGATACACCAATTGGCAGGTGTAATAACATCCAGAAGGCTGCGTGCCACGTGGGGCCCACACACTCTTGACCGGCAACCACAGACCCCTCTGTGCCCCCACCCTCCGGCAGCTGTTGCCTCCATCCCACCCCTTCGCACCCCCCAGGCCACTACCTCCCCGTCCCTCCCAGGCCCCAGCCTCTCCTCCCCCGCCCCCAGGTTCTTCCTTACCCTCCCCCAGCCCCTTCCTCAGGCTCCTCCCCCCGGGTTTTTTTTGGGGGGGGGTTGTTCCTGGCTAAGTTTTTCTTGCGAGGTGGGGGTAGGGAGGACTGGTTAGAGGGAAAGGACGCTCCGCCATTCACCGGGAGGTCCTACTGAATGGGCACGTTTTCCAGCTGAGAAAACCGTGCTTCCTAACAGAGAGACGGGCAGAGGCCTCTCTCTGGAACTCGGGCAGGATGTCACTGGGAGGGGAGTGGGGGTGGGGCCAGAGCCCCAAGCAGGCCCGACCGGCCTGGGCTTTCTTTGTTGAGGGGACGGAATCTTACCCACAAGGTGAGAAGAGCCGGAGAACGCCGCCGACCGGCCGCGCCGCCCTCCCCGTCCCTCCCAACACCTACGGCTAAAAGAGGAGGAAGAAAAAAAGCACCAACAAAGAGTTGAAGATAGCAATTCCCAGCTTTTTCAAATATGAAGCATATTTTAACCAATCCATTTTTAATTCTTAAATTCTTGACATTACAGAACTAAACTGTAAATTTAACATTCCACTCTTACATTTCTTATCGACAAACAGAAATGAAATTCATGAGCCAAAAAACCCAAAACAAAACTAAAAACAGGGAAAAGCTTACAAAACTAAATATGGATCCCAGCATTAACAGCTGAACAGAGAATGTGATTTTTAAATTCTTAGCGGATGATAAAGTGTAGAAACTGAACACTTACAAATTATCTTAAAACCTGGAATCACTGACCAGAAATTACACAGTTGGATCATGGGAAAACAGCAGAAGGGGGTTATGCGGGAACCTACTCCGTTCTAGCTGCAGCCCATGCCCTTCTCAGAGGAAAGCCTGGCATTGATTAGATACTGGGCCAGACTAATGCTGGCGGCAGAGCCAGTGATAGTGACCTGCCGGCCAGAGGAGCCCTCCACCGGGTTGGCAATTTTGATCTGGGCCCCCGACATCTGGCGGATCTCATTAATGTTGGCGCCCTGGCGCCCGATGATGCAGCCGATTAAGTTATTTGGAATGGTGAGTTCATGGGTGGTTTGAGTAGATGCATCCAAACTTGCCCAATAGCCTTTCACCTCGGGAGAGCTGGAGTCAATTCCCGCGAATCCGGTCCCGCCGTGCATCATGGCAAAGTGAGACTGTTGTCTGGCCACCTGGTTGAGCTTGGCCAGGTCGAGCGGCGAAATGGTGTGTTGTCCCTGGATCGAGTAGGCGTCGAGCGGGGGTCCCTCCAGGTCGTGGGTGGCGTGCGGGTAGCCCGCGGCGTCGCTGCAGCGCTCCTGGCCGCCGGCGCAGATGACCGGGGAGCTGGCCGGCATGGGCTGGTACGGGATGGTCATGACCCGGGCCTGCGGGGACTGCGAGAGCGTCTCCAGCATGACCAGGCAGATCTGCTTGACGCACTCGGTCACCGACTGCGGCACGCCGGCGATGGTGATGGCGCGCTCGGTCGAGTTGGGCAACATGTCCCCCGCCACCTGCACCTGGGCCCCCGTGCTCTCGCGGATCTCTTTGATCTTACAGCCGCCCTTGCCGATGAGGGAGCCGCACTGGGTGGCCGGCACCACCAGGCGCAGGGTGACTGGGGGCCGGCTGGCCGCCGTGCTGTTGGTCATGGAGCTGTTGATATCTTCCTCCAGCTTGTCGATGATCATGGCGAAGGCCTTGAAGATGGCATTGGTGGGGCCCGTGAGGGTGATGATCCTCTCCGGGCAGTTGCCCTCCGAGATGTTGATCCGCGCGCCGCTCTCCTCGCGGATCCTCTTCACCGACTCCCCTTTCTTGCCGATGATGCTCCCCACTTCCTTGCCGTGCATCAGCAGCCGAATGGTGAGAGTCACGTTGAGTCCGCTTTCAGTCACCCCGGCATCCATGGCGAGCGGCGGGCGTTCGGGGGAGTTGGGCTCGTTACGTGGTCAAGTCTCTGGGGCGGCGGGCGGGCGGGCGGGCGGCGGCGGCGGGGGGAGGGGAAGGGTAGGCCCGAAACTGCCGGCGCGAGGCGAGCGAGGGCCGCGGGGCTGAGCGGGGAGGCCGCGGCGGCGTCGCGGGCGCGGGCGGCGGCGGCCGAGGGGGCGAGCGGGGCCGGGAGCGGCGGGCGGGCGGGTGGGCGAGGGCGCGGCGCTGGCGACTCCGGCGGCAGCCTCGGCGCTCTGGGCGGGGCGGGAAGCCCGCTTTCAACCCCGCGCACCCTCTGACCCCGGAAGTGCTTGCTGCGGAGGACCCCTGGCAAAAAAAAAAAAGATGAGGACCCGTCTTTTTTTTTTTTTAGGTCACAAGATTGCGCCAACTTGCAAAAAAAAAAAAAATAAATAAAGCTTTGAACGCTCTGGTCGTGATGAGAAAGCACACGGGGCTGCAGAAGCTGGGAGTCCGGCAGCGTTTTAAAGGGACCAAGGATTGAAGCGGTGAACGGGCGCGGGCGGAGGAGCGAACGCTGCCGTGTGGGGGAGGACAGACACGTATTCTCTTTCCGGTCTTGGCTGCAGAGTTTCTATCAGGAGCGACGCGGGCAGCCCCGGCCGTCACTGCAGGCGGTAGCCGGGACGCCGCGGGTTTAAAACGTGCGCGTGAGGCGGCCAGCGCGCGTGCGCGAGGGTGGAGGGCGCCGGGCGGGGCCGCGGCCGGCTTCCGGGGGGGAGGGGCGGCCGGCGGGCGCGCGCGCGGGCGGCGGGCACGTGGGGGGCCCTTCGTCCCCGGCGTCCGGGCGCCCGCCTGGCCCCATCCCCCACCCCCACCCGCGGCCCCGGCGGCGGCCGCTGCGCCCCGAGACCCAGGCCCCTGCCGCGGCCGAGTCTCGGCTCCGGGCCTTGCTGCAAACTTGGCCATCCAAAGAATGGCGTCCATTTACATAATGCTTTGTTTGCGTTTTGCAACTCTGCTTTCGGTTAGACCCACAGCACCCCCACCTCCTGCCTTTGACTGTTTGGGGTCCCCCCCGCCACCCCACGGCTGACTCGTTAGAGTTGGGGGCAGCGGTGTGGGGGGTGTGCGGGCCCCGCGTGTGGAGGGGCTTGCGGCGCCGTTGGAGCGCGGCCGGGAAGCCCTCTCAGCCTTTCCGCCTCCGCGCCCCGCGTCTCCGGGGGCGGCCCTTGGCGGCGTCCGCCATCTTGCAGCACCTTCCCTGCCGCGTTGCTCGCGCAGAGGAAATGTCGCTCGAGACGCCGGCGCGTTCGAGTTAACGGTTTTTTTACCCTCCCCATCCCCCGCATTTCTTCCTCCGGCTAAGTCAGACGAGAACGGAGCTTGTGCTCGACGTTCGTCAAGCTTCCTCGGGGAAAGGCTAACGTGGCGCGTCCCCGTTTCCCCCACCCCCCGCTTTAACCCACGCGGGCGGCCGCCATGTTTTCTGATCACAAAATGGCGACACGTGGCCTCGATCTGTTCCTAACGAGAAGTTGGGGTGGGCCCGAAAGCTCTAGAATGCACACCCCCGCCCTGGTCCCTCCCCGCACCACAGGTTTTATGATCACTCGGGATGGAGTCCTACAGTTTGGTCCAAAGCCCGCTGGATCGATTTTAATCCGTTCTCCAGCCCCTTTCATTTGAAACGGGAATGCCAGTAACTGAAATGGGACATAGTATTGGTTCTCAAGCTCTGTTAAAATTTGGTGGTGAATAATGGGATGCAGTACCAGGGAGTAATTTGGGAGCCGCTGACCACTCCAGCAGGAAAGCATTTAGAAATCACTGCTTTTAAGAAATAATACGGGAATTTCTTACTTTCCTAGTTTTCCTGGCATTTTATAGATTGATGTACAGGAGGTTCCCAGAGAGGATTTTTATGAAGGTTAAGCTTTGTAAAGTGTGTAGGGCATTTGGGCTTTTATTCACAGCCCAACTGGCCCATGTACCTCAGTTTACTACGGTTGGTATTCACTGTGAGTCTAGAAAATTAACGTGTTTACTGTGATCTTAGGCATTTGGCTGATACCATGTTTTTAACTGTGATCTTCTGAGGTAGGTGGTATCATCTGTTTCTCTCTTTCTTTTTTAAAGCAGAGGAAGATAACAAACATGAAGGGTTTAAGTCAAGGTCACACGTGTCGTACATGGAATCCAGACCTGAATTTCTTCCTGGTGAGCACATTTCTAGATTTTGCTGCAAATCAGGCTTTTTAGAGTTTAAATGCTATTTTCAGCGTAAAGGACAAACTTGAGGAAAGCTGTTAGGTGATCTTCAGATGTAGCCTGCAGTGTTTGTATCTGTTCAGGGGCTTTTTGTGAATGACACCTGTCAGGGGCTCCCATGGGTTTTGCACGGTGTCTGGGAGAGGGCTGGGGAGTGGAATGATTCAGCCGTGGCCGCAGTCCGAGGTGTTGGTCTGGCCTTGCCTGCGGCACACTTGCGTTTCCCTGGCTTTGGGGAAGCACTTAGTTCTGTATAAGTCACTTGCTTTCCGCAGATACTCCTGTCTTCCCCACCGCTGTAACCTAACAAGGTAAAAATACTGCACCCTGGCGCCAAGCTGCCATTTTTTCTGCAAATATTGACAGTGTGTGACCATTTCGGGGTCTTAATAGCCTGTGGACCCTTCAGTGTCTCCGACAGGCCTCTGCTTCTGTGGGTGGCAGACATGGAACCTTTCTTGTCTTTGAGGCTAAAAAAGTGTTTTCACATTGTTTTATGCAACGTTGTAAGCTTCCTTCACATTAGTTCAGTAGCACATTTTCTGAATTTTAGTTTTAGATTTATGATGCGTTTATTTGAAAGGCAGTTCAAAGACGGATGGAAAGACAGGTCTTTCGTTGGATTGTTCCTTCCCCAGATGACCATAATAGTTGGAGTTGGCCCAGTGCTAAGCTTGGAGCCAGGAGGAGCGTCTGGATCTCCCAGGTGGATGCAGAGGCCCAGCTGCTGTTGTTTTCCCAGGAGTATTATCAAGGAGTTGGATTGAAAGTGGAGCAGCTAGGGCCTGGCACAGTAGCCTAGCAGCTAAAGTCCTTGCCTTGCACATTCTGGGATCCCTTATGGCACTAGTTCTAATCCTGGCTGCCCTGCTTCCCATCCAGCTCCCTGCTTGTGGCCTGGGAAAGCAGTCGAGGATGGCCCAAAGCCCTGGGACCCTGCACCCATGTGAGAGACTTAGAAGAGACTCTGGACTCCTGGCTTTGGATTGACTCAGCTCTGGCCATTGTGGCCACTTTGGGAGTGAACACACACACACACCCAGAAACAGAATGTTTATTTTATTTATATATTTGTTAAGATTTATTTATTTTTATTGGAAAAAGAAGGAGAGACAGGGAAATCTTCCATCTGCTGATTCATTCTGCAAATGGCCTTAACAGCTGGAGTGGAGTTGAGCTGAAGCTGGGAGCCAGGAGAGAGGAGCTTCTTCTGGGTCTCCCACATGGGTGCATGGTCCCAAGGGTGTGAGCTCTCCTTGACTGTTTTCCAGGCCACAAACAGGGAGCTGGATGGGAAGCAGTGCCATCAGGATTAGAACTGGAACCCATATGGGATCCCATGCAAAGCCAGGACTTTAGCCACTAGGCTGCTGCGACGGGCCTGGAAACAGAATGTTTTTAAGGTAGTACGTGTGTGTAATACAATTGGGCAATTTTTTTAATTAAAAAAAGGACACATTATAATTAGAGTGATTAAAACCCATTTGTAGGTTGTGAGCATTGTATAGATTTAGTTCTTACAGAACTTCCTGAAATGGGCAGTGGTGTTATTTTTGTTTTACAGAAGCACAGAGATGTGAAGGGATTTGCCCATGATCATAGATGGGGATGAATGGATTTAAATTTTTGCACCAGGGATTTGGCATGATAGCTCAATGGTTAAATTCTTACCCCTGAAGGAATGCGAGCCCATTTTGTCAGTGCTTTGTGTTCTGGTTGCTCTTTTTGTGATGGAACACCCGCTTCTGGCCTGGAAAAGCAGTAGAGGATGGCTCAAGTCTTTGGCCCTGTACCTACCCGGAAGACCCAGAAGTAGCTCTGGTGCCTGGTTTCCGATCAGCTTGCCCTAGCTGTTGGGGCCATTTGGGGAGTGAACCAGTGCATAGAAGTTTCTCCTTTTTGTGTAAATCTGATGTGTCTTACCAATAAAAATAAATATGTATTTGAAAACATTGTTTTTGGAATGAAAAAAACCTATTTTTTAATTCCACATCCTACAAGTGGTTTAGGATTTGAATCTGAGCAATCTTAGCCCAGGTTTGTTTTTTTTGTTGTTAAAGATGGTTCTTTCAAAGGCCAAGTAACAGAGGGGGAAATGCAGAGCTCTTCTGGCCCACAGTTCACTCCCAGATACCACAAAGGCAGGGCTGAAGTCAGGAGCCAGGAATCCAGCTAAAGCTTTTTTTTTTTAAGATTTACTTTATTTTCATTGCAAAGTCAGATTTACAGAGAGGAGGAGAGACAGAGAAGATCTTCCGTCTGTTGATTCACTGCCCAAGTGACTGTAATGGCTGGAGCTGCACTGATCCATCCCAAGCCAAAAGCCAGGAGCTTCCTCTTGGTCTCCCATGTGGGCTCAGGGTCCCAAGGCTTTGGGCTGTCCTCAAATGTTTCCCAAGCCACAAGCAGGGAGCTGGATGGGAAGTGGAGCAGCGAGGATTAGAACTGGTGCATATAGGGGGTCCTGGAACGTGCAAGGCGAGGACTAGCTACTAGGCTACTGGGCTGGGCCCCTTTTTTCTTTTATAAGTTTTATTTTTTATAATGATGCATGGTAGATCAGGGTTGGAAGGATTGAGGTTTAGGATAAATTGAGTGTACTCATTGCTTCCAAATTTGCTATTTTTTGTAAAGATTTATTTATTTTTATTGGAATGTCACATACAGAGAGGAAGATCTTTTGTCTGCTGAATCACTCCCAAAGTGTCCTCAACGGCCAGAGCTACACTGATCTGAAGCTAGGAGCTTGGAACCTCTTCTAGCTCTCCCATGCAGGTGCAGAAGTCCCAAGGCTTTGGGCTGTCCTTGACTGCTTTCCCAGGCCACAAGCAGGGAGCTGGACGGGAAGTGGAGCTGGGATTAGAACCAGCAAGGACTTTAGCCACTAGGCTACTGTGCTGGGCCCTAAAAGTAGAAAAGGCTTTTATTGAAGACAGGACAGCATAGTAAGAGGATAGTAAGGGTTATACTCAAAAAGTGAGCATGGGTCAGAGAAAAGATTTGGCCCATTAGGCGTGGGGAACAACTTGTTTATACTGTTTGTTGGGATGGACCTTGCCGATGTGCGAAGACTCATGTCTATTTTGATAAGGTGACTTTGTGCAGAAAACCTCTGGTTACAGTGTATGAGCGTGCTGATGTGGTACAAACTGGGAGAGGCACTGAAGGCATTTGGAACTATTCTGACAGGATGATTAAATTGTTTTGGACCCGGCACAGTAGCCTAGTGGTTAAAGTCTCACCTTCCATGAACCAGGATCATATATGTGCACCAGTTACAGTCCTGATGAGTGAACCAACAGACGGAACATCTTCCTCTCTGTCTCCTTTCTTCTTTGTGTGTCTGACTTTTCAATAAAAAGAAATAAATCTTAAAAAAAAATAAGTTGTCAGGTTTCCTATTAGATATTTGTGCGGTTTCTTACCAGGGTTTTGGAGTGAACTGCATGTGTCCCAATGATCTAGCAAGTTTTAACATTTCCCGTATGAGAAACCCTGGACTGAGCTCCTGGCTGTGGCCTGGCCCAGCGCCGGCCGCTGCAGGCCACTGAGGAGTAAGCCGGCGGGTGGGGGCATGGTCTCTGTTTTACAAATAAATGAAAAAAATTTAAAAATTATAAAAGTGATAGAAGAGGATTAAGCTGTTAGCATGGTCACATCTCACATTGAGTGCCTGGTTTACGTTCCTGCTACTAATTCCTTTTTTAAAAAAGTTTTTATTAAGATAAACATAGAAGATTTTGTGTGTTCCACAGGGATAGCTCCAAGAAGACAACCATGTTTGCCTCATTCTTCTGCCCCCCACCCCGTACCGCTCCTTCCCTTTCTTCATACGTTTTTTTTTTTTTTTTTTTTTTTATTATTTTTTTTTCATTGGAAAGGCAGATATACAGAGAGGAGAGACAGAGAGGAAGATCTTCCGTCCGATGATTCACTCCCCAAGTGAGCGCAACGGGCCGATACTATGCCGATCCGAAGCCAGGAGCCTCTTCCGGGTCTCCCACGCGGGTGCAGGTTCCCAAAGCTTTGGGCCGTCCTCTGCTGCTTTCCCAGGCCACAGGCAGGGAGCTGGAAGGGAAGCGGGGCTGCCGGGATTAGAACCGGCGCCCATATGGGATCCCGGGCGGCAAGGTGAGGACCTTTAACCACTTGCGCCACCGCGCCGGGCCCCTCTTCATACGTTTTTGTAGACATGATTTTAACCTACTCTGTAATACTCGCACAGGCTTATTTCACCAGTAATCATAGTCAGTAAGTACAAAGTAGGAAGAGCACATTTCCACTGGAGTACAGCTACAGGCTGGAAACCGCGGTCATATCCCGAAGTGACCATCTCATTTCCAAATAGTGTTTTATGTTTTATATTAGGTGCTACCTGCTGTTATACTTTTTTTTTTTTTTTTTAAAGATTTATTTATTTATTTTTTTCATTGGAAAGGTGGATATACAGAGAGGAGAGACAGAGAGGAAGATCTTCCATCCGATGATTCACTCCCCAAGTGAGCCGCAACGGGCCGATACTATGCCGATCCGAAGCCAGGAGCCTCTTCCGGGTCTCCCGCACGGGTGCAGGGTCCCAAAGCTTTGGGCTGTCCTCGACTGCTTTCCCAGGCAACAGGCAGGGAGCTGGAAGGGAAGCGGGGCTGCCAGGATTAGAACCGGCGCCCATATGGGATCCCGGGCGTGCAAGGCGAGGACCTTTAACCACTTGCGCCACCGCGCCGGGCCCTGCTGTTATACTTTTGATCCAGCTTCCTGCTAATAGGCAGTCTCTGTCAGTGTCAGATGGGCAGAATATAAGGCGGAGGGCATTGAAGGGTATTCCAGGCAAAGGGAGCAAAGGCTCAGAGATAGATCACAATCTGCTCACAAGTTGTAGCTGTTTGGGGCCAGCACTATGACACTTCTCGTGACCCTAGCATCTGTGTGAGCGCTATCTACTGGCTGCC